TGCGCCTGGAAACAAAGTGTCTTCTATAATCCAGGTGCTCCCTGCTTTGTTCTGTAATAACCAGCCCATGGATCATCAGAGCAGCCCCCGGCCCAGCCTGCTGCAGGGTTGTTGAGACTGACATCACCACCAACCCCATTCCCCCCTCCGGGCTGCTGGGAGGGAGGGGCGTCGAGCCCCACATGGTGAACTGTCAACAAGTGATTGGACAGTGGGCAGCTTGGGAGAGGGGTATGAATGGCAGTTGGAAACCATTAAGCGGTTGACTCCTTGGAGTGGAGAAAGGGGCACAGCCTATATATAGGCTGTGTGTTAGGAACAGGAAGGTGGAGTGAGAGACAGGGGGTGTGCAGGGGGTGGTGGAGAGAGAGAGAGAGAGAGAGAGAGAGAGAGACAGCAAGAGGGGAAAGACCGCAAGAGGCACCTACAGGAGCAGAGCAGGGCAGGCTCTGGAAGGCAGAGCAGGCCTCCTCTAGAAGCCATTTGGGACCTTCTCTAGAGAGGCCTGTGGAGAGGCGCCTCCCTGAGCAGAGCAGGGCAGGCCTGGGGAGAGTGGAGAGCCTGCAGAGGAGGAGGAAGGGAAGAAAAGTAAAAGCCTTCTTCTTTGGAGGTTTGGAGCTTTGGAGGTCTGAGGTTTGGAGATTTGCAGACCGATTAATTGGTTTGCAGACCAACTAATAAAGGGTCAGACTGCCTATTGGAGGCTTGGAGGTTTGGTGGTCAAGGCTGCTCTTGGTTCTGGATATCTAGCCCAAGAAAAGGTAGTCGCAGACCCCCTTTCTGGTGTGAATAGGGTAAATAAAATTCTGTCACCTTAAACTGTGCCTCGATGGATTGCCTTGGCCTTTGGAGGTCATAATTGTTCAGTCTCACTAATAGATGAATATTTTTGAAGTGTAAGATTCCTGATTTTATGCCTTTTTCCATGTAAAGGGATATGTACAGATTCTTGTCCCTTTTAGTTAAGCTCTTGTTATGGTACGTTACTTTGTAGTTAAGGTATTCTCTCCTTCCTCCACTTTGAGCTTGGCAGAATGGCTTCTGGTGGCCCTTGGAGTATGAGAAAATTTAACATGAGAAGAGGCTCTGTGCCTGGGTCATGACCTTGTGATCTTGTACTTTGGACATGACAGAATGAGTAACAGCTTGGGAAACCACTGCCCACTTCCTATTCCTCAGAGTGTAATATGTGAAGCAGAGATATTCCAGACAGCCTAATGTTTCTCAGCGCGACGCAGTTGCACTAGCCAATCACAAAATGTGTGCAGAAGAACTAAATGCCTATTGCTATCAGCTAGTGATTACATGATTGTTCATTATACTCCAAAACTTTGCCATCACATGAAGTATCCGTAAGTGGTAGAACACCCTTTGCCATTTAATAGTTTAACTAGAACAACTATCTATAAAATCAGAGGTTTGTATTCATTATACTCAATGGGAATTAAAGCGCATGATTGTCAAGTATCCCACTCCTCACAGTATACTTCAAGAAAATAGGTCAGAAATTTACCAAACTGTGAAATGAATGAATACTAGAAAAAGAATATTAGAGAAGGCTGGAGGGTAAGAAGGATTCTAGAATTTCTCTGATCAATTTATTTTTAGAAAGCGGAGCGAATGAGGTTTGTTAGACAGTGTTCAGTATAGAACTCTGACATGCTTACTGAAAGGAAGAGTCTGTTGGGGAGAAAGGTGCAAGTTAATTGGCTGCGCAGCTCCAGCAAGGTGATATGTTACCATTTAATTAGTCAGCCTTCAGGGACCTGGATGTACAGATCAAAAGCAGGCTGTCCTGTCAATTCTGGACATAAAACAATATTCAGTATATAAAAATATGGATTTAAAAAAAAAAAAGTGTGAGTAAAAAAGAGAAGCTAGAAAGCTTTAAAATAGGAAGCTGATATAATTTTTAAGTTTAGTAGAAATGCTTTGCATAAGAGGCTGGGCTGGCCAATGAATTTATTTGAGGCACTCAGTGGGGAATGGAAAGGGAAACACAGAAATGATGGGACAAAAGGTAAACCAATTCAGCATTCACTAGACACTATGTTTGAAATGAACTATACAACTTGTGGGGGGAAGCCTGGGAGGGGAAAACTGGGAGAAAATAAGGGAGGGGGTGACACTGTTCAAAAAGAAACGTACTCACTACCTGACTTATATAACTGTAACCCCTCTGTACATCACCTTTACAATAAAATATTTTTAAAAAATCTGTGACATCCTTAATATCAGGGTTTTAATATCCCTTAATGAAACTTCCTTAAAAACACTTTAAATATCTTCTGTATCTTTATTAGACACTTACATAAAAATTTTCTTTAGCCGTAGAAGTTTCCTTTTGTTACTCAATTATCCTTTCCATATATGCCAAGAAACGATTTCCATAAGAACCATTTATATCTAAAATCCAATTTTCTAATCAGCAAAATTAGTACATTGACTTGTAATGAAATTATTTTGGGGAGGATTTTAATATACAAGTTCAAATTTGTCACTCAGGTAATATTTTTAAGGAGGAAATGTTCTTATGCAACATGACTAAAATGCCCCGGGGAGCTCTGAAATTATTTTTTCATTAAATAGAGCTGAAATTATGTGAACAAGTAGAACATGAGAAACAAAAAAGGAAAACAAAATATAGAACACTGGGGAATGAGAAAATAGAAAATAGACTGTAAAAGGAACAGTAACTTGTTCAAGGTTACCCAGTGAGTCAGGAAAAAAGGGTGAGTTGGAATCATGCCAAGAAACAAGGTATAGCAAACTTTAATAGCCACGTACTAAATCTGCTGGCCAAGTTCTAATGGCTCACATCTGTAATTCTAGCTACTCAGGAGGCTGAGATCTGAAGATCATGGTTTGAAATCTGAGAAAAAAGGCCACAAGACTTTTATCTCCAGTTAACTACCCAGAACAACCAGAAGTGGAGGTGTGGCTCAATCTGTAGAGCACCAGCCTTGGGTAGCTAAGGATGATAGTCCAAGCCCTGAGTTCAAGCCCTCATATCAGCGCGCGCGCGCGCGCGCGCGCGCGCACACACACGTACACACCCCATAAATTGCTATGAACCAGCATGACATATATAAACTCTCACTTAATGCCATAACTACTACAAAGTAGGTATTATAATTTCTGCTCTATAGATAAATACAGGTCCAGAAAAATAAAATGAATTCCTTAATAATACACTATAATAAAAACTGGGATAGTTATACCATGCCACACTGCCTATCATACCTCTCTGAAGATCTGACTCTTAAGTATGCAAAACTGGAGAACCCAAATCAAGTACAAACATTATCTTTTGGAGAATGAAAGCAATGTGACTCATTTGCTATATGTGATTTTTTTTTAACTAAAAAGTTGAAAAACCAGCTAGGAATGTCCAATATGCTTAGACTTTAATGATAAGTGAACTACACATGGGCGCATCTTATAGTACGTCTATAAGAATTGCATCAAGATTTAAAAATAGTCCACAACAGGAACTGGTCCTATGTGCTGTGTGTCTGTTTCTAAAAATCATACTTCATCTGCTCCATCAAGGGTCATGCTAAAGAAATTTAGTTGATATTTCAGACCACCTTAATATATATGTGTTCTTATTCTGAGGTCCTTGAAGTCCCAGTGTCCAAGAGATCTTCCAGCAGAGGATCAAGTTAATGTGTGTTTTTCAAGCCAAAAGAGAGAACAAGGAAGGGAAGGATTGTAAAACCAGCACCATCAAATGTCTTTACACCCTATAGTCAAGCTATCTGCACTTACTTCCGGCACTACTTTTTACTGTGAGTCCTGAGAAATTTATATAACCTCTTCATGAATCCATTTTCTAATTGCTAAAATAGAGAAATTAATAGGATCTGTCTTATAGAATTGCTCCCAGGACTAACTGAGCTAATATTTGTATAAATGTTTGATAAGGAAGATAGGAATAGGGACAACATAGGCACTTAGTGCTTTTAATACCTTGATGTGTATTACTTACAAAGCCGAGGCTACTTCATTTCTTCCAGTAAGTTTTACCTCATTTCCTGTCTGGCTCCAAATTATTCCTCACTGGAAAAATTTACAGATTTCTAGTTCAGTAGTTCAGGTGATTCAGCATTAAGTCAACCTTGTGTTCTTCCTGTCCTGACCCTGTGTCCCAGTTTAGACAGTTGTTCCTGTAATCCAGACCCAAACTTCCACTCTAGTTCTAGAATTCTACTCCCTTGTGGCTAGTCCTTACTGGAGAAGGTACTTGGGGCCTCTGGTTTTTCTGAGGTAGATAACCCCCCAAAAGCTACTGGTAGACTAGACACAATTTGATGGGCATATGCTAGTTGAAAACTAAATTGCCTGCATTTAGAAATTGCATCCAATTTTATTCAAATGTAAAGACTCAAGTGTATAACTTCTCTTGAAAAATGGATGATCTGGAAACATGGCCCCAAGTGAACCCAATCTCCTTAGGAGACCACCTGCTTTATACTTTTCAAAGTCCTGCCCTGCCTGCTTGATTTGTGCTGGCTATTTGCTTGATGCCCACAGGCAGTCAAGGTTGAGTCTAAATCTGCAACTAGCCAGTAGTTAGCAAGTCCTTAGTATTCTAAGTACTATGTGCTTAAGTGCTTCTTCACAGGTCAGGAATCTGTTTTCACGAAACCATATATTTCATTTTATACAGATATACTCTATCATCAGAAAACTTCTTCTCCCAGTTCTTTTAATCCATCAAATATTTATGCACTACTTACATTCTATGCTGTATACACAATGTTCTAAGTACTTCTTTAGAAACAACACAAAAACCACTGTTGATTTCTGTCACAAGTAATTCTGTGTTTTTACAATGGGCAGCCTAGCAAACTAAAATTATTTGAACAGAATTATTTATGTGTTTTTAATCTCATTTAATAAAATTAGCTAGATTGGCTAAAACTCTATAGAATTTTAAATGCAACTATTTTTCTGTCATAGTTTATAAAGAAAGGCTTAATAAAAATATTACTTACATAAGGAATTGTGTCCAAAGTATCAGTGTTGACAATTATAGGAGCAGGACTGGCCTAAAATACAAGAAATAGAAAAACATAAATAACAATGTATTCAATTGTTAAGTCACTCAACAGAGAATGCAATAAGCATTTCACAAAGTACCTGTGTAGGCACTGTACCACTTGTTAGGAGGTTAAATAAAATTGCTCAGGGCTTCCATTCCTTCCCACCTACAAATATTTATCTACAACATTACCACTAAAATGAGATAAAGTGCACATAGAATTTAGAATCACTTAGGAAATGTATTTATTACCTTACTCATGTAATTGTAATCCCTCTGTACAGTATCTTTACAATAAAAAATATATATTAAAAAAAGAATTTAGAATTATTTTTTCTAATATTACATATGAAAATATAAGAGGTGAGGATTTTTGCTGGGTTTGGGGTAAATATTTCTATTAAATTCACCAAGAATTAAATTTTCTAACACTTTTTAAAAATGGGCTTGCTAAAGAAATTTGATATTTTTTTCTCAAGGAAGAAAAATGAAATCCAAACCAGTATATACCACTATTCTCTTTAAACTGCCTTTTGAAGGTGTGTTGTATTCAATGGAATTTCAATTATAAAGTTTCAATGATCACATTAGAGTCATGCATAAAAATATCAGAATGAAACCTCTTTCTACGATTAATATATGCTAATGAAAAAGAGGAATAAAGTATAAGTATCAATATCTTATTGCATTGAATATCAGATCTTGTTTAAAATTTATATGTATATCTGATCACATGCACTATAAATATTTGAATATTAGAAATTACTCATAGATGGTAGAAAACTCTATTGATATGCTAACATTTTGTAAAAAAAAAAAAGTTTATATAATCTGTAGTTATTCCCTTTAATGTTTAGTAGGAGTCTTTGTAAAAGTGATATAGGAATGCTACAAGCCATGTCATTAGAAAATAAGAGATTGTAATCTCTATTTGTATCACCAATCTGACTTCATGAATATTGAGTAGCACTATCTTTATTTTCTAGTTTCCAGAATTTTCACAGAAACTTTCTCTTCATCCCCCAAAGGATCTTTACTCTCCTTCCCAAATTACAGATTTCATTTAGATAGAGGAAATACTCTCATCGTGATTAATCGAGATCTATCATTTGCAATGCGATGTTTTGGCAAGTGTGCAAATTTTGGGGCATTTCATTAGTTGTGCCCTCTGGAGTTATCAAGAGTTAACGGCTTTTTAATGTCAGTCTATGCCTGTGGAGTCCTAATCAAATGACTTAAAGAAAAAGGCAATCCAGCAGCAAAATAAAATTGTATGTCTTCACTCAAAACCCTGGGAATGTGGAACATAAAACCTGTTTACAGAGTAGGTCAACTAGATGTTCATGGTATATTCATAATTATCGATGGGAAGTACTTTGTGGGTAAATAGGGATTTTGATTACACATACACACGCAGAGGCATTTGGTGTAGGAAGATGTTTATGAGGCATAATCAGAAGACCTGGACTCAAAGTTATTTTCCTGGCTGCATGATCTGGGGTCTTACTAATTTGTTAAAAGGGACAAATCCTCTAAGATGCTCTAGCTTTTTCCTTTTTGAATAATGGAAATAATAATTATATTCCAACAAAGTTGAAGATAAAATGAGGTGATAGGTTTGAATGTGGGTTTTATTGGATCATGAATTCCTTTCATTTTTGTTTGTCATGGAAGGTTTTGGGTTCATCTTCTATTGTAAGTGACAACTTTGCTGGGAGAGCAGTTTGGGTTGGCAGTTGTTGATCTTCAGTGATTGGATTATACCATTCCAGGCTCTTCTTGTATTGAGGGTTTGTGTGGAGAGGTCTGCAGTGATTCTGATTTTCTTTTCATTGTAATAGAGCTTCTTCTTTAATTTTGTAACATTTAAGATTGGTTCCTTTCTGTTCACATCTAATGTTTTTACTATGATGTGTCTAGAAGTGTTGCTTCTTGGATCCAGTTTACTAGAGGTTCTATATGTTTCTGTTAAGCAGGCAAGATTTTCTCTCTTAAGAGTGGAGAAGGGCTGGGAAGATGGCTTGCCTTGCATGCATGAGGCCCTGGATTCAATTCCTCAGCACCACATAAGCAAAAAATAGCCAGAAGTGGTGTTGTGGCTCAAGTGGTATAGCGCTAGCCTTGAGCTGAAGAGCGGAGGGACAGTGCCCAGGCCCAGAGTTCAGGCCCCATGACCGACCACCCCCTCCCCCCAAAAAATGAAGAAATTCTCAGCTATTATTTTACTGAATAGGTTTTTGATGCCTTTACTATTAAATTCTTCCCTCTTGTCGATCACACTTATGCATAGATTTGATTTCTTAGCTGAGTCTACCACTTTCTCAACTTTTCTTTGGTAAGTTCTAAATCATTTTTTTAAATACTTTTGACTTTTTGTTCTATCTCTTCTGTTTTTATCCTCAAATTCTGGTATTCTGTTTCCACCTCACTTATTCTGTTACCTATGGAGTCCACTGTTATTTGCATTTGGAAATTAAACCTTTTATAGTTCTGAAATCAGTTCTCATTGTGTCCATTTAATTTTTTTATTGTGAAAATACCGTACAGAGGGGTTACAATTACATGAGCAAGGTAATGAGTACATTTCTTATCAAGCATTGCAGCCTCCTCCTTTGTTTCCCCTTCCCATCCCTTCCCATCTTCACCCCCACCCCCAGCGCCAAAGTTGTAAAGTTTGTTTTTTGACATAATGTCTTGCACATCTCATTGTTGCAATGGGTCCACCTGTATCCCTATTTAAACAATTTGTTTTTTCCCTTCCCCTCCACAAATTATATGAACATCAAATACAGTGAAAGCAGGGGTTATACCTTGGGGGAGGGACATACAAAGCAACAAAGAAATATCTTATAAATATGTTAGAAACAATTGCAAGAAAGAAAAACCACTTGAGTCCTTATCTTGGGGTTCATTTGGCCTAACATCAACTTATCTGACTGTTTCTGTCTCAGATATACACTAGTTATTGCAAATAAGGGAAACCATGGACCTGGCTTAATGCAGTGTCTAACTTGTCTATTTTTCTCTCTGTATCTTTCTGGGAGTCTTGGATTTTGTAATTTCTTTGCACTTTTGAAGTTGTTTTTAGATCTCCCCGTTTTATTTGACCAATTCTTTCTTTCTTTCTTTTTTTTGGTCAGTCACGGGACTTGCACACTGGGCCTGGGCACTGTCCTTGAGCTATTAAGCTCAAGGCAAGAGCTCTACCACTTGAGCCACAGAGCCACTTCATGTTTCTTTTTTTTTTTTATTTCTTTTTTTGGGGGGGTCCGGTCGTGGGCCTGAACTCTGGGCCTGGGCACTGTCCCTAAGCTCTTCAGATCAAGGCTAGCGCTCTACCACTTGAGCCACAGCGCCACTTCCGGCTTTTTTTTTTTTCTGCTTATGTGGTGCTGAGGAATTGAACTCAGGGCCTCATGCATGCAAGGCAAGCGCTCTACCACTGAGTCACCTTCTCAGTCCACAGTTCTTCCAGGTTCCTTTTGGTTAATTGGAGATAAGAGTCTCATGGACTTTTCTGCCTAGGCTGGCTTTAACAATGATCCTCAGATCTCAGCCTCCTGAGTAGATAGGATTAGAGGCGTGAGCCACCAGTGCCTGGCTAATGCTTCTTTTGTCTTTCAGCTCTTCTTCATTCTCACTGGAGTCCTTCCCTGGATTGTTGTTGGCTATTGGATTAATTTGTTGTCTGGATTGCTCAGGAATCTTGTAATCTTTTGTTGTGATTTAGGCATTTGGGTTCAGAGACTGTCTAGGCCATGGCCCCAGCTTGGGCTGTTTGCACCTGACAAGTGGGAACCCTGGGTTGATTTGGGCAGTTCACACTGGGCAGGCTATCCAGGAGGAAGTAAGAGGGCAGCCAAACAACAGGGAATGGCTCCCCGCTCTCTAACCACAGAGATGGGGTCCCACCACACCCTTCTCCTCAAATACGTAAACAGCAGAGTCACGGGAATGGGAAAAAAAATCTCCTAACTTGTGCACAAAAGGATGGAAAATCGCGCAAAGCGCTCCCCTCATCTCCCCATCCCACTCCAGCAACATGGATGGCGGCCTTGGCTTCCAGGACGCAGCAGCAGCCTGCAACATTATGAAGCTGACACAGAACAGCCAGGAGCCACCTGAGCACCCAGGCCCGGAGAATCTCCAGGGCGCCACCCAGCAACCAACAAGCAATGCAGCAGACCAGTGGCTGGAGAGGTCTGGCAGGGGAACTGCTTAATGTCCAAGCAGCAGGAAGGGCCAATGGTGGGAGCCGCCTAGCCACCAGGTGACCCAATGGCAGAAGCGGCCCGAAGATAAGCAGCAGGAGAGGCCCAGCAGCTGGCCAGCAGGAGTGGCCCAGCAGCTGGCCAGCAGGAGTGACCCCCCTGCATTCCAGCTCCCTGCCTGGGTCCTGACCGAGTTCTGGCCAACTAGCTCGGGGCCGAGCATGGGTACAAGGTGTTTGCTGGCCCAGGGACCCAGTGTGAACTAGTCCAAACCAATGTGTTTTGTAAACTAAATTTCAGGATTAGTGCTAAAAATTGCTAAGCATTCCTAAAGACTACAAGTTTACTCTTAGTTTTTAAGCTAGACCACATAATATTTAATGCTATCCTAATGCCTCCAACTGTACTTAGTCTGCTAAAAAATAACTGTAGTAATAACATTGTTACGATTAAGTATTCATAATATGTGTATATTCATATAATAACCAGGAAGCCATATTGATGAGGTAGTATTAGCACTGTCCCCATGTTACAGATGAGAACACTTAAATTCAAGGAAAATAATTGAAGTTTGAATATTGCCTTTTTTTTTTTTAACATCAAAAGCCACTTCCACTAAAGTGCTCTGTGATCCCTGCCATCTTGGTGACTGTGACAGATCTCTTTGTTAGAGTATCCTAGGAAACACAGTAAAGCAAAGACTACCATAGAGGCAAAAGTTGCTTTAGGAACCCAGCAGTTTAGAAATTTAAAGCAATTTTATGAAGTTTGAACATGTACATTTTTTTTATTTTCC